TTACATAGAGTGAAATCCACTTACTAGTACTGAGTTCTCTGAGTTGGGACATACGCATATATTACCGTGTAACCACTGCCATAATCAAGACACAGGACAGTCTCATCACTGCAGAATATTCTCTGTGCCACTTCGTGGTCCTCCGCTCCTCACCCCCAGGCCCTGGCAACCGCAGCTCTCATTTCTCTTCCTGTGGTTTTGACATTTCCAGAATGGCATATATAAACAATCATGATGTGTATAGATTTTAAAGTCCAGCTTGTTTCTCAGCGTAATTCGAGATTCATCATGTTTTTGTGTGTATCAGCTGTTAATTTCTTTTATTGCTGTTTATGTTTTTACTCTGTGGAGATACCATGGTCTCTTTAGATCTGTTCATCAGTTGAAAGATGTTTGGGTTATTTCCAGATTTTGGCAACTATGAGCAAAGACACTGTGAATAAAATATTTGAAAATACATCTAACCAAAGAAGAGACATAAATGGGAAGTAAGCACGTGAAAAGATCTGTCTTTTCCAGTATTTTCACAATGTTTATTGGGTTGTTTTGTTGTTGAGTATTTTTGAGTTTATATTCTGTATTCAGTTGGTTTTTTTTTTTTATAAACCTGTTACATGTTTTACAAGTATCTTCTCCTGGCCTACTGGTTTGTCTTTTCATTTCCTAACTATGTCTTTTGAAGTGCAGATGTCTTTAATTTTGATAGAGCTTATTCACTTTTTTTTTTTGTGAATTGTGCTTTTGGTTTTATATCTAAGAAATTCTTACCGAGCTCAAGGTTACAAAGATTTTTCTCTTGTTTTCTTCTACAAGTTCTTGGTGTTTTAGGTTTTACATTTAAATCTATTATTAATTTTCACGTAAGTTTTTTTATGTGAGGCAAGGTATGGATTCAAGTTCTCTGTTTTTACGTATGGGTGTTCAATTTTTCCAGCACCAATTTTTGAAAAGGCTATTATTTTTTAAATTAAATTTTTTATGGTGCAAAAAGGTACTTTTATTATAGCACTGGGATGGGACCATAGGCTAAAAGAGTTGCACTGGGGTTGGTGAGGAGTGACTGATTATATACTTTTAAGTTTGTGGAGAGAGGGGCAGGGGTAGAGATCATGTAAGTTTCTAAGGCATTTCTTTCTGTTTGCTGGAAGTAGGGCGTACTGGATTTTGAAGTTCTGGCTATTTGTCAAGATAAGGTTGTATTTAGTTTTTGATTAATTATCAACATTAAGGCAGCCATGAGTTACTTGAGGAATTTTTTTTTTTTTTTTTTTTTACAATTTATTTATTTTAGAGAGAGGGAGAGTGAGAGCATGTGGGGAGAGGGGCAGAGGGAGAGAATCTTCAAGCAGACTCCCCGCTGAGTGTGGAGCCTGACACGTGGCTCTGTCTCACCACCCATGAAGTCATGACCTGAGCCAAAACTAAGAGCTGGACACTTAACTGACTGAGCCACCCAGGTGCCCTGAGGAATCTTTTTTTTTAAATCAATTAATTTAAGTAATCTCTGTGCCCAGCGTGGGGCTTTAACTCACAATCCCAAGATCGAGATTCCCACTCTCCACTGACGGATCCAGCCAGGCAACCTGAAAAGGCTATTATTTTTTCGATTAAAATGCATTTCTAAAAAAAATATAAAATGCATTTGTATGTTGGTTGAGATTTTACAAAACTGTGGTCTGTTCCAGTGTTCTCTAATCCTGTTTCATTTATCTCTATGATTGTCCCTTCACCAGTATCACAGTCTTGATAACTATAAGTTTTGAAATCAAGTACTCTGAGTCCTTCACTGTTTTTCTAAATTGTTTTGGCTGTCCTAGTTCCTTCACTTTTCCAAATAAATTTGAGAATTAGTTTGTTGATTTCTACAAACAAGCTTATGGGACTTTGATTGGGATTGTACTGAGTATGTAGATCACTAGGTAGATTGACCTCCCATAACAATATTGGGTCTTCTGGTCCATAAACATGTTGTATCTCTCAATTTACATAGGTTGTCTTTACTTTCTCACATCAGTGTTTTATGGTTTTCAGCATACAAATCTTGCACATATTTTATAAGATTTATACCTAAATGTTTTATGTTTTTGGTGCTATTGTAAATGATAATCTTTTTTTTCTTAATAATTTATTTAAATAGAAAATATTTAAATATTTTTTAAATAGTATTTTATTATGTTATGTTAATCACCATACATTACATCATCAGTTTTTGATGTAGTGTTCCATGATTCATTGTTTGTGCATAACACCCAGTGCTCCACGCAGAACGTGCCCTCTTTAATACCCATCACCAGGCTAACCCATCCCCCCACCCCCCTCCCCTCTAGAACCCTCAGTTTGTTTCTCAGAGTCCATCGTCCCTCATGGTTCATATCCCCCTCCGATTTCCCCCGCTTCATTTTTCCCTTCCTGCTATCTTCTTTTTTTTTTAACATATAATGTATTATTTGTTTCAGAGGTACAGGTCTGTGATTCATCAGTCTTACATAATTCACATTCTGTTTCCAGTGTATCCTTACTGAAATGTGGATACAATTGATCATTGTATGCTGACCTTGCTAAACTCAATTAGTTTGTGTTGTTCATGGGTTCTGTGTTTTTACTGATTTTCTTTCCTTACTTTTTAAAATCAGGAATGGAAATAACATTAAAATTTTCAACTCTAATTGTGAATCGATTTGCCCGTAGAATTCTATCATATTTTGCTTTGGTCTTTTGAAGCTGTGTTATTCAGTACATACGTAATTGAGACTGTTATGTCTTCTTGCTATGCTGACCTCTCTGTCATTAGGCAGTGTTACTCCGTAGTCCTGGTAACACTTCTTGTTCTGAAGTCTACTTTGTTTGGTAATAATATACGCTCTGTAGCCCTCTTTTAACTAGTGTTTGTTTGGCGTATTTTAAAGATTTGTTTTTACTTTTAACCTTTGTCTTTATCTTGGGTGTCTTGTGGGCAATGTATAGTGAAGTTTTGCTGTTTTATGCATTCTCTGTTTTCTAATCAGTGTGGTTATACTGTTTTCATTTAACGTATATAGAAAGAAATACAAAAATATCTCCATTTCTTTTTTCCTCTTTTTTTGTTTGTTGGATTATTTTAATATTCTGTTTTATTGATACTGTTAGCTTATCATTTACATTTTAAAAACGTTTTTATGATTTGCCCTAGGGTTTACAATACAGCCTTTAATTAATCTTTAAATAGTACTGTCCTGCTTCAGATGTACTGTAGGAACCCTACATCAGTGTTTTCCCATCTCTTCATCCTCTTTAGTTCAGATTCCTTTTCTAGTTGTTCCTGTAGCTGGGTCATCTCCGAGTCTGGCTCTGTTGATTACTTTATCACTCCACTGTGGGCCTTTTGTTTCCCTGGCTTTGTCGTAATTTCTGATTGAATGTTAGACATCGTGTGCAGGGCAATAGAGCAAACTTTTTCTGTAATGGGCTGGATAGTAAATATCTTTAGGGCCGGGCCATATATGGTTTCTGCTGCATATTCTTCTCCCCCCTCTCTCTTTTTTAAAAACTATCCCTTTAAAATATAAAAATCACTTTTGGCTTACAGCCTGTACAGAAATGTTTCCCGGGCTACATTTGGTCTCTGGGCCATAGTGTACCAGCCTCTGCAGCAGAGAATGAGGTAACTGGTGTGTACTTGTGGACATGGCTATGCCTCCTCTTCTGCTGGGCTGTCAGTGCGGGATGAGATGGGTGTGGGTTTTGTTGCTGCTGTGCTTGCCTTCTGTGTACCATTAGGCTTCAAATGCCTCTCTTTTCCTTGCGCTCAGTGAGGGTGAGGGCTGAGCTGCCCGAGTGTCTTCCTCAGTGCCCTGTTCCACCCTTAGCTGTTGGCCTTCCCTTTGCGTCTTTGTTCAGGGGGTCTCCTTCCTTCCTTTTGCTCCTTTCCCAGCTGTAGACTGCTCTTATTGGCTGCTGGAAGTTTGCTGGGCTGATGCTGGAGGACAAAGGGAGTTCTCTGGTGTTTGGGTCAGCTCCTGTCCATCTTTGTCTGGGTGGTGGGGCCTTCCCAGCGACCCTGTCCTCCTCCTGGTGGCAGCCACAGTCTGCACCAGGTCTTTGGCAGGCCCGTACTGGGGAAAGTTGCCCCCTCCTCCCCCAAAGTAGGAGGACTCTAACGATCCAGGCCCAGGATGTCCTGCCCTCCCTCCTGGATAGAGTACAACAGTCTTCACTGGGCCCTGGGGGCCCTGGGTTAACAGCAGGAGCCTCTGGGCAGGCTTAGTGTGTGGCAGTTCTCACTGAGGACTTACTTAGTCTGCTCTTGCAATCGTACTCACTTCTTAAAAGGTTTAAGTGTAGTGCTAAGAAAGAGGTACTGATTTTGAGCCTGGTTCCAATTACGACATTCAATCAAGAAGTGGATCGATGGCATACTAAAGTTTCCCAGTAGGGAAGAGTAAGTAGTAATGAGAGTTGGATCCCTCCTAGTTAAGAATGTAGCTTTGCATTGGGCTATTTGCGTCTAGCTGTGTTTCAGTGGTGCTACAGTGCGTGCAGGGTACCAGGTTCTGTAACTCTAGAGAGGATTCCTCGGGGACATGGTAACACTGTGCATCCTGCAGCCTATGACTCTGGGGAGCCTGGGGGCCCCGAAGAGCTGCCATACCTGTATGTGTCCTCTGAGGGGTTGATGCACTTGGAGTACAAATGGAGTAATACCTCTTAAAACAATCTTATGTGGACAGAGTTGGAAAAAAACATGAAAGGCCCTCTCATATTTTTCGTTCAGCATCTTAAAATTATGATTGTGAGTAATATTTGAAGATGGATGTCACTAAATCAGTGGTCATTGAGGTTTGTTGTGTCACTCTTATGAGCTAAGCTTTTGCCTCAAGAAGTGACACTGTTTCTCAGTCAGCTGGTAGTTACTGAATGGTCAGACCTGTCGTTCAGAAAGGCCAAGAGCTCTTGAGGGATAGACTTTGCCTCTGTTTCTATAGAGTCTCGTTCTAACCAGAAGCGTTCCCTCTCTCTCCCAGACCCGGACGCAGAGGTGTGTCTTCATGCACTGCGACTCGTCCAGTCTGTGGTCCTGGAGCCAGAAGTCTTCTCCAGGTTGGCCTCCGAGTTCTGCAGCTCCTTGCCCTGGCAGCTCATCCTGGCGATGGCCAAGAGCCGCAACCCGCACCTGCAGACCGTGGCCCAGGAGCTCCTGGAGGACCTCCGTGCCCTGGAGCGTGATGCATAGGGGCGCTCGGTGTGTCCCTTCCCCTCCCCCAAGCCCCCACTTTGTGTTCTGAAACCATCACCGTGCGCCATGTGTTATAGAGGGTAGAATGTGAGTGACTCGAGAGGGATGTGAATGCATATGTATCCACACAACTTCCTCCTGGAAGGGAAAGTACCTGTGGGTGGCTGGTTAGCCTGGCCAAGGGGCAGCCTGGGGAAGAATCCATCCTTCTGGAAAGGCCCATGTCCTGTACCTGGAAGAGGGCCGTCTTCGAGTGGCTTCTGCTGCTCAGTAGAGTGGGTTCCCCTGCACAAAGGGGATGAAATAACCACCTGCCCCGTTGGTCAGCATTTTCCTGAGATACATGTTTTGAAAAACAATTCATTCTCTCTCTAGTAATTATAATTAATACCCTAAAATTCAAGTTTACCTTTAAACCTTTTGGTGAACCTGCTATTTCAGGTGACGTTGGACATTTTGGTTCTATTTTTTTGTGCCTGTTTTATTTTTGAATAAAGAAAGCCAGAAGAGTTATCAATGTACACAACTACTCTTTTCTGAAATGTTATAAACTTGGTATTAGGAAGTCTTATATTATAATGCAGATACTTGGTGGGTAGAAAAAACTCTCGTTATGTTGTTCTGGGCACTTGACTATACACTCAGAAGTCCCGCTTTTCTTATAAGAAATATCATGAAAAGGGCCTCCTAGACGAGAGCCCATGCCGTTGGGTGAAGTCCCTCAAATAACGTCTGCTGGTGTGTCCCAGGGTCCCTGCAGCACGTAAATCCTTCTCAGCTGCGCCTGGGCCGCTGACAGAGCGCACGGGACACACTTCATTTCTCACAGACACCGTGCACGTGAGAGCCAGAAGTTCCATCCAAGTCACCCCGTAAAGTCGCATCAGGGAGCACGTTTGCTCCTTTCTTGTGCTGCTTCCCTCATGGTGATGCTGCGAGTGCTCGGGCTCTGGGCACCCTCTCCAGTGAAGGAAGGTGCTGACGGCCCCTACGGTGGCGGCCTCGTATACATTTATAACCTGTGTCTGCTGTGGGGCATGTTAGAAGAACTTCATTTTTCTCTGAAGTCGATTTTATAGGCAACGTGTGGTTTATGGCTAAGGCTGAAGCCACAAGCGTGGAGGAAGGCACGGGGCTGGATCTCAGGAGCCGGCAGATTGTGGAACACTGCCCGCTCATCGGAGCCAGAGAGCTGTTAGAAGAGGCAGCTTGCAATTCATGGTGCAGAAATCAGTCCATCTGTGTGCTGCGGTTCTGTAGGTCTGACTACGGGCGAATAAAATTGAGGGTGTTGTGTGTTTGTACTTTTTCTAGCATGGTATTTTCTTTTTGGGTATTTGATAAGGTGACGGGAGATAAACTAGTGTAATTAGCTTGTGCTGCCTCTAGAATGCAGGGTCTTGTCCTGCCAAAGATGGGATCTGCAGCGTAGAGAGACACAGAACTGGGCCAAAGCATGAATTTTGTGTAGTTTAGCTAATTAGTAGATGGATGTGATGAAGAAAGATACTTTATTTCCTTTAATTATGAAGTGCTATAGGGATAGCAAGAGTCCTCATGAAAACTCCCTTCAGGGAGAAACACATGATAAATGCATGTTTTGAGCATATATCATAGGAAAAGTACTTATGGCCAGTTTTAAGGTATGGCTTAGCCTTTCTAATATTTCTGTTTCTCATGTGAAGGTCAAGGAGACACATGAGTTCTAACAAAGTATGCATAAAAGCATGTGCTTGGCAGTGTTTGGGGTCTCTTGTGAATTTAAAATCAGAAACAAAGGCAGTAAAATGGCACATGTATTTTTAAATTTATTTATTTATTTTTAAAGATTTTATTTATTTGACAGAGAGAGATAGTGAGAGCAGGAACACAAGTGGCAGAGGGAGAAGCAGGCTTCCCGCCGAGCAGGGAGCCCGACGCGGGGTTCGATCCCAGGACCCTGGGACCGTGACCTGAGCCGAAGGCAGACGCTTAACGACTGAACCACCAGGTGCCCCTAAATTTGTTTTTTAAAGAATTCCTCTTATGTTAAGTTGAGGCACTCTTTATTTCTCCTTGGTGCTGTCAGTTTGTCTGTAAAGGCATGGAGCCTGCCAGGCCAGCCGCCAGGCCTCACACCACCCTGCCCTGCCCCCGAGGGTGCTCAGAGCTGCCCTCTTGCTCACAGAGCTGGGAGACCCTCGTTCAGAAGCAGACCCATGCTGCGGCTTTGAGGATGGCTCTCCATAGCTGGGTCTGCACATGGTGCTGAGTGGGGTTGAGAAGTCCTCACCCCGGATATGTATGTAGCCCCATGCCTTTTACTTAGTTCAGAGGATTTTAAAATTAATGAGAGTACCAAGCAGAGCATCGCAGGTCTGGGGCTTGAAACCAGCGCAAGGCTGGCCGTCGGACCAGGGACAGAAGCAGGGTGTTGGTGAAAGTTGTAAATATGCCTGTTGTACTGGTTCTACCAGGCCTGCCATGAGCTCTGCTGTCATGACATTAATGTGAATGGAAAAGGTTGATATAAATACTTTTGTAGACTTAACTAATTTCCTGAGAAGACTTGAAGACAGGGTTTGCTCTGTTTTCTCCTGTGATGTGGATGCTGACTCCTGACCACAGTAGGGCCTTGAGGGCAGGTCCTGGTGTAGTGGGGACACAGTATAGGGTATAGCACCCCATAGGGATGAGGCTCAAAAGGCAGAGTGACGAACCCAGCAGAAGCTCTTCGATACTTTTCCAGGCCAGACACAGGTGGGGAGGTCAAGAGACAGCTGGTACGCCTGCATCTTGGCAGAACTCGTCTGTCGTACTCACGGCTGTCCCTCTGCTCTGAGAGTGTGCACGTTTAGAATTGTCTCCAGAGGTCGAGTGAGTGTGGAATTCAGTGGCATTAAGTACATTCACAGTGTTATGTAGCCACCACCACTGTCTATGTCCAGAACTTTCTGTCATACCAAAGAGAAACTCTGTACCCAGTAAACAAGATCTCCTCCTTCCCCCGCGGCCCTCTTCCCAGCCCCTGGAACCCTCCATTCTACTTCTGCCTATGAATTCGACTGCTCTACATACCCTCCTATAAGTGGAGTCGTAAAATATTTGCCCTTCTGGGCCCAGCTTATTTCACTTAGTGCAAAGTCTTCAAGGTTCAGCCATGTTGTATCATGTGTCAGTTTCATTCCTTTTTATGGCTAAATAACATTCCATTGTATCTACATACAGGCACACCTCAGAGGGTTTGCAGGTTCAGTTCCAGATACCCCACAACAAAGCAGATATGGCAATGAAGTGAGTCTGCTGTTCTGGTTTCCCTAATATGTGTCTAAAAAACACAATGTATATGCCTTCATTATGAAATACTTTATTGCTAGAAAATGCTAACCATCATCTGAGGTTTCAGGGAGTTGTGATCTTTTTGCTGGTGGAAGGTCTCCCCTCGATGTTGACGGCTGCTGACTGTTTGGGGTGGTGGCCACTGAAGGCTGGGGCGGCCACGGCAACCTCTTAGAATAAAACAATAATGACGCTTGCCACATCCGTCCACTCTTCCTTTCATGAGCGATTTCTCTGTAGCATGTGATGCTGTTTGATAGCATTTGACCCACAGGAGAACTTCTCAAATCCTGCTGCTGCTGTATCACCTAAGCGTGTTTAATATTCCAAATCCTTTGTTGTCATTCCAGCAGTCTTTACAGCATCTTCACCAGGAGTGGATCCCCTCTCAAGAAACCACTTCTTTGCTCATCCACGAGAAGCATCTCCTCATCGGATCAAGTCTGACCCTGAGATTGCAGCAGCTCAGCCCCATCTTCAGGCCCCACCTCTAACACTAGTTCCCCCACTGTTTCCACCACATCTGCAGGGATTTCCCCCACTGAAGTCTTGAACCCCCAAAGTCCTCCACGAGGGCTAGCATCAACTTCTTCCAAACTCCTGTTTGTGTTGATATTCTGACCTCTCCCCATGAATCACAAATGTTCTTAATGGCCTCTAGAACAGGAATCCTTCCCAGAAGGTTTCATTTCATTTTGCCCAGATCCATCAGAGAAATCACTATCCATGGCAGCTATGCCTTATGAAGTGAATTTCTTAAATAATAAGACTGGAAAGTTGAAATGACTGCTTGACTCATGGGCTGCGAGAATGGATTTTGTGATGGCAGTATGAAAACAACATTATTCTCATTGTCCATCTCCACCAGAGCCCTTGGGGGACCAGGGGCACTTTCAGTGAGCAGTCATATTTTGAAAGGAATCTTTTTTTCTGAGCAGAAGGTCTCAGCAGTGGGCTTACTACATTCAGTAAGCCATGTTGTAAACAGATGGACTGCCATCCAGCCTTTGCTGTTCCACTGATAGAGCATGGGCAGAGTAGAGTTAGTAGGCATAATTGCTCAGGGCCCTCGGATTTTCAGAATGGTCAGTGAGCGTTGGGTGCCAATGAAATTCACCTTTCGCCCCTGACAAAAGAGTCAGCCTGTCCTTTGAAGCTTTGAAGCTGGGCATTGACTTTTCCTCTCCAGCTATGAAAGTCCTGGATGGCATCTCCTTCCTCTGCAAGATTTTACTACATTGAAAGCCTATTGTGGAGACGCCTTCATAGATGATCTTAGCTGGAATTTCTGGAGAACTTGCTGCAGCTTCTATGACAGCACTTGTAACCTCACCTGGCACTTGTAATGTTACGGAGACGTCTTCTCTCCTTAAACCTCATGAACCCACCTCTGCTAGCTTCCTCACCTCTCAGCCTTCACGGAATTGAAGAGAGTTAGGACCTTGCTCTGGAGGAGGCTTTGGTTTAAGGGAATGTTGGGGCTGGTTTGGCCTTCTGTCCAGACCACTCAAACTTTCTCCACATCAGCAATAAGACTATTTCACTTTCTTATCATTTGTGTGTTCACTGGAGTAGCACTTCTGATTTCCTTCAAGAACTTTTTCTTTGCATTTGCCATTTGGCTGTTTGGTGCAAAAAGGAGGCCTAGCTTTTGGCTTATCTCAGCTTTTGACATGCCTTCCTTACTAAGCTTAATCATTTCTAGCTTTTGATTCAACGTGAGAGACGTTCAACTCTTCCTTTCATTTGAACACTCAGAGGCCACTGCAGGATTATTAATGGGTCTAATTTCAGTATTGTGTCTCAGGGAACAGGGAGGCCTGGGGAGAGAGGGAGAGATGGGGGAACAGCCAGTCGGTGGAGAGTCAGAATGCACACGACACTTACAGTTAAGTTTGTCATCTTATACAGGTGCAGTCAGGGCACCCCAAACAGCTGCAGAAGTAACATCAAGGCTCACTGGTCACAGATCACCATAACCAGCGTAGTAAGAATGAAAAAGTGTGGAATTTTGCAAGAATTGCCAAAATGTGATACAGGG